TGTATATATATATATATATACATATATACTAAAAATACTTGGTGCAGCAGCTATCCAGTTTAGGCAAAAAGACAAGCACGAGTGTTTGAAGACTCTGCAGTCACGCTTTTCGTAGAGTTTTAAATACTGACGATTTACTATTTACATCAAATGTTCAGGAGACAGATGGCAAGTGGGGAAAAACTTCTCTGTGGCCTGGCTGTCCTGATCCTCAGTTGGCCAAAGTGCTACCTGAGGGAAGGCGCCAGAAGAGATGGTGTCCAGGGTGTGAGGGATCTTAGATGGTTTTTCTCTGCACGCCTCCTGGTACTTATTGTGATCTAACATCAGTTTAATTCAGCTTTAGGGCATTAGGAGCATAAACACTTTTTCCAGGAACATGAGCCTACTTTTGGGAAACAAATCCTATGTGCAGTAAACAATCCTGGACTATGTGAAAGCCGTTAATTGTCATTTAGATTGAAGTTTTCCTTTTCCTGCTTACCATTACATTTGCAAACTTGCTTGCACAGCACCTTGATTACTTAGCATGTAGGTGATCCACATGGAGGTAGCTGTCTATAAAGGCTTTGGGCTTGGAACCAAGGCTCAACAGTGAGGTGTTTGTCAGTGGGTTACCCCAAAGCCTTTACTCCAGGAAGGCATTCAGTTCTGTTGTTTTGGACAAGGTTGCCTAGTTTATGTGATCTTCCTTCATTAATGTCTTTGAAATGTTTAGTCTGACCTTTCCCCAAAACCTCTGTTCATGGGTAATGTTGACGATATTCAAGTGTATAATAGAAACAATGTGTTTATGCAGAAAGATTTTTTGTTTGTTTTTGCTTTGAAGCAGCGCATAGTGACAGAAACAGGTGAGTGGAGGGAGCAATTTTATCCATGACCAGGTGCAGTGGAAGAGGTGGCCAATGGTGGCCTTGGCCATCATAGATTAATATTCAGTCACACCAGTCATTTGAGGAAACTATACTTTGAACAATATAAAAACTAAAAACATAGTTTCCTCAAAAGATAAGGGTGATCTGTTTACGCCCCGCCCCCTACACACACACACAGTACAGTATATATAGTGTGTGTTTTGGTATTTTGGTGTAAGCACCCAGTAGGTATTGATAGTGACCCAGTACTGATGTATTGATAGTGACCTTTCTTATATTAAGATGCAGCCAAAATTGAAGTCGCTATTGTTTATTTTTGAAGCTATCCAGCTTGCAGGATGGACCGACATATATGAGGGCAGCCATTTTGGATTTTGACATGGCAACTCAACTTTTGATAATGACTTTTCTTGCACCTTGATGCAGCAACACACTGACATGTTGCTTATTTTTCAGTTTATCCAGCTCACAAGGTTAAGATATATACATACAGTATATGGCAGCAGCTATGTTGGATTTTGATGTGGCAAACCAATTTTCGAAAGGAAACTTTCTTACACCTAGATGCAGCCACACAAAAATGGAAGTCAATATCTCTTATTTTTCAAGCTGTCATGCTCACAACATGCACATACAGACAGAGGGCATTTCCAATTCCCACTCCACTCTGCAACAGGGGACAGTAATGGTATCAGGGCATACAACACTTTGAATTTTATATACTGTATTTTTGTGTTATCAAGTTTATTTAAATTTATTTTACGTTGCTAATTAATTTACAGTGTAACTCCTAAATGATGGAAAAAGTCTAAAGGTTATTTCTTTGGACTGGCTCTCAACCTCCTTTCAGATAAAAAAAATAATAATAATCTATGTATCAGCGGACCTAAACGCAGACGGCAGACTGGAAGCTGTTAAAAATGTGGCAGGAAGACTAGAGTTTATTTTATGGGTAGAACAAAAAGCACTGCAGTAAAATCAAAGAAAATCCTTAAAAAATGAAACAAATATGACAATGTTGGCAAAAAAAAACCCTGAAGGAGCTGACAAAAATCAAAGGTAACTCGGGAGTATATGTAATGGCAAGAATAATTAACTGCAGGTGTTGGTAATAATGTAATGCATTACCAGGTGGAAAACAAAGCACAAATACGAGACTAGACAACAGACGTCATAGGAGATTATAGTATAATTTAGATTAGAAGCAAGAGACTTGTCCTTTCATAGTTACATTCATGTCCATGTCAGCTACTGGGTTGCTCTGCCCTCTGCCATGGTAAACAAACTGAAACACATCTGCTGCCACATTAAGTTTAAAATGTCTGCAAAGCTGGAGCAAAAACTGATGTGTGATTGTCACAGTGTTGGATGCAGCCCTCAGAGTCTGAGTCAGAGACAGAGTTTCTTTATTTGTCATTCGCACCACATGTGGGGACATGTGGTGGAACAAAATTTTGTACACAGGGTTCCAGTTACATCCAATAATAAAATGTAAAAGAAAATCAGTAATAAGATCTAAGATATGAACTATGAACTAAGAAAAGCATTAACTAAAAATATGCTAAGCACTAATAGCATAAAAACAATACGCCGAACAGCAGCACGAACATGAGTCTGTGTGAGCAGATGAGTACGAATGAACACAGCAACATGATGTGATTTTTCATAGTGATTATTCTGGTAAGATATTTACGAGTCTAACAGCCTCAGGGTAGAAGCTGTTCCTCAGTCTAGTGGTTCTACACTTAATGCTCCTTAACCTCCTTCCTGAGGGGAGCGGGGCAAAAGTGTGTGCTGGGTTACTGGGGTTCTTTATGATGCAGGTGGCCCTCTTCCTGCATCTGGAGGTGTAGATGTCTGTGATGGTGGGGACTCCAACAGACTTCTGTGCAGCCTTCACCACTCTCTGCAAAGCTTTTCTTTCTGCTGCTGTGCAGTCTCCATGCCACATGTTGATGCTGGAGCACAGGATGATCTCCACTGCACACCTGGATGCTTTCCAGGTGGGAGGATACAGATGGAGACTAGAGCAACAATACTGACTGAACAAAACCCCATGATACTTGAACTTTTCTACCTGAGGCAGAATTTCACCTTTCACCCCAAAAGAGCAATTCACCCTTTTAGGACCATGGCCTCAGATTTGGAGGTACTGATACTCATCCCAGACGCTCAAACTCATCTGTGAGCCGTTCCAGTGAGGGCTGAAGATCATGGCACAATGATGCTAACAGGACCACTTCATCTGCAAATAGCAAAAAATGGAACCCTGAGGCCACCAAACCGGATTCCTTCTGTCCCCTGGTTTCAATGAGAAATTATCTCCATGAAAGTTATGAAGAGAATCAATGACAACGGCCAGCCCTAGCAGAGTCCAACTCCCTCCCTGAAGGGGTCTGACTTGCACTGCTTGTATAGAGAGAGAACAGCCCATAGCAATGGGCCCCCAATCCCATACTCATGGAGCAACTCCAAAGTTTACATTGAATATGGTCGAATGCCTTCTTCAAGTCCACAAAACACATGCAGATGGGATAGACAAACTCACATTGAGAACCCTAGTGAGGATTAAAGAGCTGGTTCTGTGGTCCACGGACAGGACAGAATCTGCAATGTTCCACCTGGATCCGAGGTTTGACCAACAATAGGATTCACTTCTCCAGTACTCCTGAATAGACCTTACCAGGGTGGGTAAGGAAAGTGCTTTCCCTATATTCCCGCACACTCTTTGGTCCCCACTTTTTGAAGAGGAGAGCCACCACCCCAGTTTGCCTATCCAGTGCACTGCCTCCGATGTCCACATGACGTTGTAAAGGCATGTTAACCAAGACAGCCCCGCAACATCCAGAGCCTTAAAAAAATCAGGTCAAATCTCATCCACCCCTGCAGCTCTGCTGCTGTGGTGCTTTTTAACTACTTCAGTGACCTCAGCCACAGTTATGAACTGACCAGCACCAAAGTCCTCTGACTCAGCTTCCTCTGTGGAAGATGTGCCGATAGGATTGAGAAGGTCTGAGAAATATTCCTTCCACTTCCTGACAATATCACTGGTTGAGGTCAACAGCACCCCACCTTCACTGAACACAGTGTTAATAAAGCACTGTTTTCCCCTCCTCAGTTGCATGGTGGTTTGCTAGAATCTTCTCATAGCCAATTGAGAGTCTTTATCCAAGGTCTCACCGAACATAGCTTTTGCCTCAGCATCAGCCAAGGCTGCAGCCTGCTTTGCCCTCCAGATTTCCTCAATTGCCTCCAGTGTCCCACCAGCCAACAAGGCCTGAATGGACTCCTTCTTCAGTTTGACAGCCTCCCTAACCCCTAACTCCACAGAGTTCGATGATGGTCACTGCAAGAAGCATCGACAACCTTGTGGCCCCAGCTCAAGGCTGCCACCTCAATAATTTAGACACCAAACATGACCCATTTGGACTAAATGCTCCCTGCCTCAGGTGGGATATTGTTCACATATTTGTGTAAATCTGTGTTAGTGAGCACTTCTCCTTTGGCGAGATAATCCACCTCACAGGTGTGGCATATTGTGATGCTAATTAGACATCATAGTTATTGCACAGGCGTGCCTTAGGCTGACCACAATAAAAGACCACTCTAAAATGTGTAGTTTTATCACACAGCACAATGCCACAGATGTTGCAAGTTTTGAGGGAGCATACAATTATGTCATTTATATAAAATATGAATTCTTGCTTTTCAGATATTATTTTATACTTCTTAAATACTAAGCAATTATTTTTAGGGACTGAGTCAGTTTTACTTCCATAACTGTGCAATATTTTTATGGGATTTTTTTTAATCATCAGACAGTATTTTATATTAATAATACATTTTATTTTTAGGCGCCTTTCTTGGCACTCAAGGTCACCTGTTAATCATAAAAACAGACACAATATTATACACAAAGTAAAAACAAGTAAAATAGAATTAAAATAAGACAATGCAGCTGCAATCACAGTGCATAGGCTACGTTAAATAGATACGTTTTGAGTTTGGATTTGAAATGTGGCAATGCGTCTGTGTTGGTAATATCAGGTGGGAGTGAGTTCCAGAGCTGGGGAGCAGAGCAGCTGAATGCTCTGCTCCCCATAGTAACAAGACGGGCAAGGGGAACAATGAGCTGAATAGAAGAAGAGGATCTGAGGGTATAAGCGGGTGTAGCAATGTGAACAAGGTCCAAAAGTTATGGAGGAACGAGGTTGACTGATTGATTTAGAAAATAAAAAAACAGACAACAAAGTGATTGAAATGGGTGTCCAAATACTTATTTACTGTAAATTAGAAGTTTACTGTTTTGCATAGTGACACAACAACAGATGTGTTGTTGAGGTCTTTTTTAAATCAAAAATTTTAATGATTATTAGAGTGATTAGCATTGTTAGTACAGTTATTATTGCTAAACGTGACAGCAGTCTTTGTGAATACCTTGTTTAAAGTTTTCCAACTTGTTGTCAACAATTTAAGTTCAACATCGCCCATGACTGGTAGTGGCAGACTGTTCAAAAGATCCAAATAAAGCAGCTGTTTTTCATGCTATAGCTCCCCAGCTCTTCTGAGAAGTGTCCTGATGCATGCTCGTCTTTTGGATAAAAGACGAAATGTTTCAACAAAGAAGAATCTGTCCAGAGGACCTGATTTAACCTTGTTAGAATCTTCTGAGAAGTGTGTCAGCTGTTTTCTCTTCAGTCATTATTTCTGTAACTTGTACTTGCTTGAAACATTTGCAAGCAATTCATTGGGCAATATGCATTATTTTAATGACATGCTGCTGTTTAATTTTGTTTGTTTGGTAGTTCCCTTAATTACACACAAAAATAAGAATTTTTAAAATATATTTTGTTCACTTTTAAGTGTTTATGTATTTAATTGTCAATCAAAATGACCAAAAAGCAAAAGTATATTTTCAATAGATATAAAAATGAGGTTTACAAAAGTTTGATATTTGCAACTTTTTATTTATTGATCCACACTTCAAAATTACAGTTTATACTTAATGGCTTTTTTTTTTTTTTTTTTTTTAAGAGAGAGATTCAGGTTTGCTCTAAAGCAAAGGTGCTTTTGCTTTATTTCTATGTAAATTTAAACAATACAAGTCCTCACAATGCAATCATTTTTAGGCCCACCTGCAGTGCAGGAGCAGCTAAAAGTTTGATCAAGAGTTTGTCAACACAAAGGCAAGCAAATAAGCACAAAGCTGGCACGAAATGGATTTTACAAGTGTTATTTGGTCTATTATTAGATCGGCTGTAAGGTGACGGTGCTGCTCTTCATCTATTTTCTGGCTACAAACTATTACTGGATCCTGGTCGAAGGCCTCTACCTGCACAGCCTCATCTTCATGGCATTCCGGTCCGATTCCAAATATCTCTGGGGCTTCATTCTCATAGGCTGGGGTAAGCAACAATATATTTTTATGACATGCCACAAGGCAGCAAATCTAAAGCATCACTTCACTTCAAACTTATTTTCCCATCATCTTTTTTTTTCTCATCAGTGCTGAAAGTCATGCAGAAAATAACTTGTACATCTAAAAAAGCTAAATCTGGTCCTCTGTACATTCAAAAAACAGAAAGACGGATGAAAGACGAAACATTTCTACATTTTTTTTGTTTTTTGAATGTACAGAGGACCAGATTTAACTTTTTTAGATTTTTCTACCTGGATTATTGAGCATGCATCAGGATAACTTGTACATCTTACATCTATTTATTTTACCCACAAAGCAAACAACATGCTTAATATAATTCTTTGTATTTGGTAATGCCCTTTTATTTTCTATACCTTTTTCAGTTTTTGCACATCTTATTATTTTACAGTAGGTAAGATTATTTTTGATGCTTAGAAAAGGAAGAAGAGGTTAAAATCTGTGAACATACTGCCTCTCAGCAACTTAACGTCCTGAGAAAATTAAAAAAAAAAGAAGATATTGGTGAGAAGATGGAAAAAGACTTTAATCTCGTACTTAAAAACTGTTAATGTCTCACTTACACCAAGAAGCTGAGCAGAACCAATGCTGTCGCTAAAACAGACTGACTTCTCCTAAGTTTGTTCCTGTTTACTATTGGAGAAGAACTTTTCTCTAAAGCATGGACATGAACCTTCTTCTCCCTAAACAGTTTTTTTTCTTGTATTACAAATAAATACGTACAACTGGACTGTTCCAGACTTGCTCTCTGTTCATGAGAAATAAAAGCATTTGAGTCCAGAAACATCACACTTACCAAAAAACTACATCATAAAAAAAGTTCACTGAAATCTTTGATTACAGGCTAATCAAAAACACAACTCAACTAAAGTGTTTAATGGAAGGTTGTTAATCAATATCCATCCATCCATCCATCCATCCATCCATCCATCCATCCATCCATCCATCCATCCATCTTTACCTCTATGCCCAGCAGTTATATTGTGTAAGAGGTGGCGTGCACACTGGATGCAAGACCACCTCAGGGACCCGTAGAAACTCACACCTAGAGGCAATTGAGAGTTAATACAAACCAGCTTAACATGCATGTTTCTGATCTGTGGGAGGAAATTGGAGTACCTGGAGAAAACTCATGCATGCACAGAGAGAATATGCAATTCAGCGATTATATACAGGTAGTTTACTTATTTTCCACCTTTGCTTCATGATCCATGAATGTGATAGCCCCTCACATATTTTCACATGATTCTAATGAACGTATTGCTGTCCTCTTAAAACTGTGTTTTGGATTACACTCCTTTCACAATAGTTTAGACTTGCTTAAATAAAAGTGCTTAATTTCATCATCCACCTGCCTCTGGAGCATTGTCTGCATTGCGTCAATGTTTTCTGACATCCTTTTGAACAAACATTGTTTCATGGCACCGGGAGTGTTAAATGCCTAGACGTTTACTTTGAAATACCACTTTCTTATTTTCATGCACCACACTGAAGGTGAAATACATTTCTAGAAAAAGACACTTACAGCAAATCATTTTCTTCCCATTGTCCCGAGGACAGATATCATTTTCAGCATATATTTTGCTGACATGATAAAACAAAGGGGGAGTGTATCCAGTAAAAAAATAAATAAATAAATAAATAAATAGTGGACAAGTGTGAAAAAAATGACTACAAAGATAAATCTGCAAAAGTAATTTAAAAATCATCCATCCATCTTTGCATCCATCCATGCATCCAGGATGAGAGAGTTCCTCACCTTATCTCTAAGGCTGAACACGGTCATCCTAAAATCTATATTGGCTCGATCAATAGCTCATGAGCCACGCCTGTTGACAGTAAGTGTCAAGGTTGTGGAGTGGAGGGTGAAAAACTGCAGATATCAGGAATCAGGCAGGCAAAAATCACATCAATCAAATTAAGTTTATTCACAAGAACTTACTAGGAAAATCTAAACTTGCTAGGGATCAAGAACAGTAAAGAGCGGGTAAAATAATCTGTCAGTGATTGAGTTTATGTAATCTGGGATGAATGATTGGTGAGTTAGAACAGGTGGTTTTTTTTTAGCAAATAAAAGCAGGTGTTAAACGGTATATTATATTGGGAAAGTAGGAAACAATAACTAGGAACATGAAAACACCAAAACCAAACTGCCTGTCTAAACTGATAACAGATAAACCCAGGAATGTACAAAAATTATATACATGTAATGTTAAAGTAAAAACTGTAGTTTATAACATACCATAAAAGTAAATACAGTATTGTATCCTAATCAAAATATCTAACCACATAATATTTGTGTTTTAAATGAAACACAGATTCTTTACTATGCTTTGGAGGTAAATTGTTGGTTTATCTATTTTACTCATTAATATATTTTTATTTAAAGAAACCCGTTTAAATACCCATAATTAATTGGAAATCAATAGTCACTCTGTGTAGGCGCATATGTCACAGAACTGTTGATAATATAAATAAAAGTGTCAAAACAGAAATAATTTACAGTGATGAGCAAGTCAGAAAGTAGAGCGAGAGTTCAGACTCAGCTTGGATCAGTCTTCACCCTGATTGACAGGACCAACGCCCTCATTACTGTGAACAAGGCTTCGGTTTGTCAGTCCATCCCCTCCTCCATCCTACTATCACTCATAAAAAAAGACTTCTAGATAATTAAACTCCTTCAATTGGGGCATCCAATATAGCTCATGTCAGTGGTAAATTGATCTCTTGTTGAAATCAAATGGCTTATTTGTCTATTTTTAAAAAAAAATTAAGATTGAAATCTGATCATTCATCAAGCACATATTGAAACGTCATAACCTTGAAAGCCTGAAAGAACAAAGTGATGTAAGTAGGCCTGATGGATAAAATCAAGATTATGTTGATGAACTTTTGCTCTGTTCTCTCGCTGCCATTAAGCCCTGCAAACCTCTTATTCTCAATTTTCCCTTAGGAGCTATAGATAAGATACACGTTTCAGCTTAAATGTCACTCGCCTGTAAAAAATAATAATAATAATAATAAAGCTCTGTGAGTACTTATCAGTCCATTAAAGTTATTCTTAATAATTATATTAACTGTAATGGGGCTGCCACATTTTAAAGGCTTCTGAAGAGGATGCTAGAGAAGTCGCTCGGCTACAATCAGTCTTACCACTTCTACTTCTTTCACTTTTTCTGATGCAGCTCACTATTCAGAGGCACAGAATGGAGTTTCAGCAACATTATTAATATTAATGTTAATGGCAATGGTGAAAAAAAATCATAAATCTATTTTTAAAAGAGCTGATCACACTTCACTGCCTGCAGCTCTTACAGATTTTTCGGTTTATGTGCAAACTGACTTCTGTTTGGTCGGCAAATATTTTTCCCCGGTGGGATTTAATATATAATTCAATGAGAATGTTAGAATCTCTGCAAACCATCAACCTACCAAACTGATCAGTTAAGTAAGCAGGTAAAATTCATATAATCTGTACATTTAATTTTTTGTTTAGCAACTGTCCAGCTTAAATGGTTGAACAATGAAAGCAAAGTGGCCCTTTGTTGTAATTCTTACCACTCAGTTTGAAGTTATTTCATGTTTGGTTGGTTTCTCATTCTAAATGAGCACAGACAGGGTGCACAGTGTTAGGAAATCATGCAATCACAGAGGAATTGGTAAATAATGTAATGGCAGTTTTAGCTGTGATAAACCCATATTTGTCAACACTCACTTCATTTGTTTTGGCCATTATTGAATAAACCAAGTGCACTTTGGGCAGTGAGGGTCCATCTGATTGAACACATTTGGCAGGTGAAGCATAAATTCATGTCCCTTGGAATATTACAATTTATTATTTATTGCAGTCCAAGCAGTCATTTGCAGCAGTGATCTTTCAGTGACAAATTATTTGCAATTAATTTTGCAGCCTTAAGTCTAAGGTATGGTAGCAATATATATGATAAAACTGGTACACATAGTACATATCTGGTACTTACAGGAAATATACTTGGTAAATAGCTTATGTGTACCTGACACTCACACATTACATGCCCGGTACTTTTTTGCTATCTACCTGGTATTTACAGGATATGTAACTAGCATTTACCCAACAATTAAAGGATACATAAATATAAACCGGTACGTCTCTAATACTTACAAGATACTTACATAGTAATTACAGGTTATGTCTTGGTACCTATAGAGTACTCGGTACATACCTGGTGCTTACAAGATACATGCTTAGTACATACCTGATACTTACTTGGTATGTATCTGGTACTTACAGGGTACATACCTACCACTTATTGTGTATGTACTAGGAATGTACTTGACATGTACCTGATATGTTTTGTGGTAAGTATTGGGTACACTACAAAACAAATTAATTTTAAAAACCCTTTACAAACAACATTGTTGACAAAAGTATTGAACATGCATGGCATGTATCTGGCGCTTAAAATGTACCTAATCAGTACTTACTGTGTTCATACATAATACTTACCTAGTATGTACCTGGTCCTTACAGGGTATGTATATGGTTCTCATTGGGTACATACCTGGGACATAGTGGGTACTACCAGGTACTTAAAAGGTACTTACCTAGTACTCACAGGGTATTTATCTTGTATGTTCTTGCGTATTACCTGGTAGTCACATAGTACCAGGTGTGTAACTAGTACACAATTGATATTTGCAGGATACTATAAAGGTAAATACCTGTTTTGTATATGTACTGGTCTGTATTATGTATTGCTAGTATTTTAGCAGTTTTTCACTCTGCATTGTCCTATCATATTTTTAGGATGTGGGTAGCCTTTGACCCAGTGAGATGTCTTGACAACCTTCCTAAAGGCATTGTGGGTAATACTTTTGAACCGTTCGATGAGACAAAAGTGGAGGGAAAATATTATGAAACTAAATTAACTTACGGAGTCGTTCTAAATTTCTTTGGACAGTTGTGCTTGTACAGGTGCCATTTCACCCCTAAATCTACTGTGTTTCAGAGTAAATTTGTCAGCTTTATTTGTTATTTTACAGGCTTAAAAAATACATTTCTCTTTTGAAAAAATAACCGACCCCGTCATGTAGTTTTACTCTTGACAGAAGTGGAAACAAAAACCTTTCCACAGGCATTAGGTAGATAAAATCACAATCCTCGGTGCGCTGCATTAGGGAGTAAAAGTGTTGAAATTGCTGCTTCTTTTGAAATGTGACAGCCACCAAGGTCGCAGATAGGAAGTAGGTGTGTTGAGTTGTTTGAATGTGTTATTATGTGCGTCAGAACACCATCAACATGTGGGATTATTTAGAAACTAATGTTTTGTACTCTCTCTGTGCACACTTATTTCCATCTCTCAAGTAGCTTAGTTTGATAAGCATGATTTAAAAATGATGCACAGTACACACTGGTGTCTGTATTTGGGATAACGTATAGTTGTACATTCATACCGCAACATCAGTTGCATCAGATGAAATCTCACCATCAGTGTCTTACAGCCTTTTCTTTTATGTGATCACAGGTGTGCCAGCTCTTTTTGTGGCAGTCTGGGCGATTGTCAGGGCAACACTGGCAGATGCAAGGTAAGAGCATATCATACAAATCCTCAGTGGCAATAAAAGTCATAACAGTCATTAAAATGTCAAAAACACTTTGAAATCTTCAAAATAGGCCATCCAGTCGCTTAAAATGAGCTTGCAAACAAAATAAAAATAAAACATGAAACTATAATTAGTGTCTAATTGTGGTGACATTTGAGTCATCTGAGAAATCTAATTAAACTTGCAGCATTTACAGCTGACTGAAAGCAGTCACACAATGAAACAGGTGGGAGATCTGGAAAGAATTACTGTCAAAACACAAAACTGAGTTATATTGGTACAATCTCCAGTGGTGCGGTATGTTTGGTAAAAAGAGAATCTGTGGATGAAAATAATATCCTTCCTCCTACTGTGTGAGGCAAATAATTTGGCTTTGAAGTTTCATGTGTTGTGTAGAAGCCTTCCAGTTGCTTGACTGGACCAAAATTGAAAACCAGTAAGAGATTTATGACATCAAAAGCACACTTTGGAAAAAAGAAAGCAACTGGGAAAAAGACAGGTAAAAAAAAATACTGTAATTTTTGAATGACGTGAATAAAAGGTAAAACAGAAAATAATTTAATAAGATACACAATGTGTATCACAAATATATATATATATATATATATATATATATATATATATATATAAGGTTTTAGAAACCCTTCCCACACTCTTGCAATGTTCAAAACTCTTAAACATATGTGATTTTAACAACATACATACACAGTATGCACTGCAAACAAAATCACACAATAGTCGAGTCCAAATCCGGACGACAGAAGTCCCGGTGAGCTCCGGAGAAAACACCAGACCTCCAAGTGATTCCACCCTGCTCGAGAGGCTCCCTGAGCCTGCAAGCAGAACTCGGATTGAACGATCATGCTGGAAATCCGGTTCTGGTCCAATTCTATCCACTGAGCGCCGAAGTCACTATGATAAGGACCAAACTTTTTTAGATCAGATCAAAATTTTCCCTCCATTTCAGCAGAAGGCAAAGGCTGGAAGCACTGTTGGGAATTCTGGTTAGTGCATTGGCTTCTGGAAAATGTAGTTATTTTGAGTGGTGATACAGTCTAGGCTTATTGAGAGAAAACTACAAAATGGTGGCACCTGTCCGAAGTATTTATTTATTTTTACTAACTTTTTACTTTATCCCGTACTGTCCCAATCACGTGAGTAATATTAAACTAAACAATCACGTGTTTTGTAAAAAAAAAATTTCTCGTGCACAATCTTGTTTTGAAAAACCGCAAACGAGCAACTCCGCAAAAGTCGAACCACTAACTACCGAGGGATTACTGTGTTCCTTATTCTGCCTTTCCAGTTTGAATACTTTGGTGTGTTTTTGTTCCAACTTTAGGTGCTGGGAGTTGAGTGCTGGTAACATTAAGTGGATTTACCAGGTACCCATTTTGACAGCAATAGGGGTAAGCATCTTGATAAATGTCTTTCTTAATTATTTGTTACAGACTTCAACAAAATCTTTCATCTGCAAGTTGAAATCAGGTCAATTTTTAATTTTATGAAAAATGAAAATGAAAAAAGAAGCCGCAAATGCTTCATTTTGTTTGTGAAAAACTTCAGCTTTCTTTTATTGTGTGGTGCAGAAAGAGCTGATCAGACAGACAAAGCTCCTGATTTTTTTGGTCTGTCCACAATTTGATCCTCACCTATAGTCACAATGTGTGTATCTTGACTGAAAGAACAAGACTCAGGATAGCATGCTGCCAAAATAGGTTTCCTTCATAGGCTGGCTGGTCTCAGCCTCAGAAATATACCCATCGTCATCCAGGTACTTAGATTGGAGACACTGCTCCTCTGCATCGAAAGGTTGTCGAGGTAGTTCATGAATCTGATTAGGATGCCTCCTGGGTGCCTTCCTCTGGAGGTTTGTTTTGCGTGTCCCATTAGCAAAAGACCCTGAGCACAATCAGACATGACTCAAGGGGTGATATATCCTCTCTCACCTGCAGGTCTTGGTATACCCCAGGAGAAGCCTTGGGAGGTGGACCTTGTGTGCTTTTTGGATAAACGAATAAGGAACTTGGTCATGAATCCAAAATACATGAAGGTTTATGAGCATGCTTCTAAATTCATGGCATTTCTGTTTTAAAAACAAACATTAGTGGAGCATAATTAACCCTAACACAGGATTTAGTTGAATAGCATTCCATTTTAATCTCTAAAAAGAAAGCAACAGCTCAAGAAGAACAAAGAAAGTGATGAAAACGGTAGTTAAAAAAAAACCAAGAGTTCTCCTATTATTCGAATGAATTACGCACACTTGGTTTTTAAAACAAAGCATCTTTTTTACTAAATATATACAGTAAATAAAATATATGAGGCTGGATGTGTGTAGGCATACAAGCACCCTTAAAAATAAATATTCACAAAAATGTGCCCACGCACTATCGGAGCATTCATGAGAAGTAGTGGAAACGACAACCATTTTCATCTTACTGGTACTTGTGTTATGTGCTCAGTCAGACTTTATAGTTTGAAGCAATATTGTTTTATTTACTACTACTGTAAATCTTTTTCATTTTCTTACTATTTGCAGAAATCCTTCTCAGACTGAGAAGCTTTCCAGTATTTAAACTTGCAGCAATAATAATTAAAAAAAAAGAGCGGATCTTCAATCACTGCCTTGCTGTGAACATATTTCCAAAAGCTTTGAATTATTGATCAGACTATTAACAAATCACACACTTGTTGAATGAACACTTGGGGTTTGAGCTGGCACAGCGTACATGAGTAATCAAGTCACCATCAAGCTGAGATTGGAGTTAAAATATACAAATCTCCTGCAGATTCTAATAACTGGCATTATTTATGTGAGAAACCTTGTGTCTTACTGGCTTTAATGGGTTTATCTCCTGAAAAAAAAGAGAAAAAGATTCGGAAAAGACAACATGTTCTGAATTTGGTCCAATATCTTCAAATTTTACAAGAGACCGGAAACATATTCATTACCCTCTGCTGAAAGGGGAAGTTAGATAATAGTATTTTTGTCCCTGTGTGTTTGTCTGAAAGAAGAATATCTCATGAACTAATGGATTTTTTTTAAATAAAACTTTCACAAAGTAATTAGTGGATGTACATCTACAACAGTTTTTGATGCTATTTCAAAAAAAAATGGCTGCCATGGCCTTAGCCAACACAAAACTGATGATGACTCAGTCAGCTTTTCAGATATTTAACTAAAATTTGGTGCAGTTATAGATGATTTTCATCAAAAACCCATACTCTAAGCATAACACCTTGTAATGTTGTACACAATTACTCATGTTTATTTTCCAAATTGCACCAGAACAGCTACAACTGTGTCATGTCTCAACACAAGATGATCTTTGTCTGAAACTCTGGTATGAAAGGTGTCGTATGCACACATTCCTTCAAGGAAAGCTGGTCCTTTAATTGTGTAAGGTTTTTAGTAAATATTCAGGCAGTAATTGACCAAAAGAGCAGAACTTCAAGACCATGAAAAGTTAACGGTGTTTATTTACAATGTGTGAAATGAACGAAACAAAGAGATGACTCAGCATGGAGGGGACTGGAATCCTAATGATTAAGAAGCTGAGTTAGGAGTATCATGAATCTCAGGGAGAAGATGATGTCCAGTTAAGTTTCTTACTTTACGAGTTAGTAGTTTGTTGCAGGGGTGAATGGTCCAAATGGTTCCAGGAGGGTTTTTACAAGGAGGCAAGTGGTGGCAGGCAAGGAGCAGCTTGTAGAAAGCATGAGGAGGTTTTAGTGGGGGATATCAGGAGATCCAGGGTAAAGGTGGAGCACAGGAACCAGAACTAGAGCACGAAGACAAAGGTTAGTTTTACAAACTACAAGGGGGTAAATAATCTGGCCAGGAGTGCGCTACCATGAGGCAGACAATGCAACAGCATCAGGTTGAAGTCATCTGCTGATATTTATACTCCAGAAGATAAGCCCCAGGCAGCACGGTGGCGCAACTGGTAGAGTTGCTGCCTCTCAGCGAGCAGGTCCTTGGTTCAAACCCCGGTCCAGGGGCCTTTCTGGGTGGAGTTTGCATGTTCTCTCTGTGCATGCGTGGGTTTTCTCCGGGTACTCCGGTTTCCTCCCACAGACCAAAAACATGCATGTTAGGCTGATTGGTAACTCTAAATTGTCCCTAGGTGTGAGTGAGAGAGTGAATGGTTGTTTGTCTCGTTTGTCTCTATGTGGCCCTGTGATGGACTTGCGACCCGTCCAGGGTGTACCCCGCCCCTCGCACAGTGATTGCTGGACATGGGCACCAGCGACCCCCGTGACCCAAAAATGGAATAAACGGGTAAAGATAATGGATGGATGGATGGATGAAGATAAGCCCCAATGGATCTCAGGTGTGATTATGATGGCACCCTCTGGTGTAGGAAAGCTGTGGAGGAAAAACACTGGGACGCCAACAAATTGCCTTTGTGGCCTCATCAAATTAAACTGTGCAGGATTTTGGTGCAACAATAAAAACCGTCGCCTAACAGGATTTGCTTTGGATCATATGGAACCTCAGTCTCAGAAATTTGCATCGACTCTCTTGTCTGTTTATTTTCTGGGGGTGTTCATTGAATCTCATAGATTCACTGGGAATTTTAAATTTGTCACAGCATTTGTGTCTTTTTGATAAACTGCACTTATATAAGACATTTTACTTCAATGTCTCATTTACTCTGTCACACACACTCTCACACAGAAGTCCTTTCTGTGCATGCAGGATTTGTAGACTTTACTGGGACAATCTGGGGTTCAGTGTCGCACCTGAGGACACTTTGACATATGAAACTGTTTGAATCTGAAGCTGAGCTTGTTGTTTTATGGTACTGTACCTGGTGTCCTGCAGCTGCCCAAAAAGCTGCCACTGTCTTGCTGTGAGTGCCACTCCTTTAAAAAGTCTGAATTATTGAACACAACTACTTCAGGCTTTAGCTGCCTCTGCATACATCAAGCTGCGAATGGAAAAATCTCCAGCAGATACCAGTCAAAGCCACCAAGTTATAACAGAAGGATTAGCCAAGTGCTGACTTGGTTAACTGTCTAAAGTGCGTTCCACCTCTTAAACATGTGTTTTAGTTCTTACATACACTCAGAGTGACAAAAACATAGGTCTGCAATTCATTTATTTTGTTTTAAAGTACTTTTGCAGCATTCACGAAACAGAAAATGACAGTGTTACTGCAGTGATTGTGTTATTTGTGACCCTTGCTCTGTGCTCAGGTAGCTATTTGCTTTTTGTGCATTGTAAGATCCAAGCTTAGAGAAGTACTTTGGGCTGCTTGAGGTCAGCCTGAAGCTATTTTGTCTACAATAAGAGTGGGGCATTTTCTCTTGTGGGCCATTTTGCCTTGAATGGTAAATGGACTGTACTTATGTAGCGTCTTTCTATCTTATCAAGATATTCAAAGCACTTTACACTACAATCTGTGCCCTTATTTACCCATTAATGCAGCACTCTACTAGATCTATACAAAGCCTAATCTGTGCTTTATCACATTCACACTGATGGGACACACATTAGAGGCCACGAGGGGTTCAGTGTCTTGCCCAGGGATACTTCGACATGTGACTGCTGGTGGAATCGAACACCCAACTCTTGCATTGGAGGACGACTGCTCTAACAGCAGCCACCAAAGTTCCACACATAGAACTGAAACACGGGCCCAGTACGGTTTCTTCTAAATCATCATTCACATATGTACGGACAAAGAAACTGGATATAAACCCTTCAGATTATCTTCACTTCACACAAAAAAAAAAAAACATTTTCTTGTTAATCTTGGGACTGCGTAGACCTCATTGATGTATCATTTAGTTTTTCTATTTGATTATTGTGGTTTATATTCTGCCTTGTGTAACCTTGGGTGTCCCGAAAGACACATATAAATTATGACACATTGTTATGATTATTATTTATTCTTAAACTATTAAAAACACTCGTATTTTTGTCAGTTACACATAGTGAGGTTGTTGAAGTTGTCAAAACACAGTAATGCTTTATTTGAAACAACGTGCTGCCTTTTAGCTGACACTTGTGACAGTAAATGTAGCTCTCAACTAGAAAAACAACGTTCAGATTATAAATGTTCTTCAGTGTAATATTCACAGCACACACTCATGTTACTGAGAGAGACAGTGCAGATCCACTGACAACCTTTTGTAAAAAAATGAGTAAAAGAAAGAAGCATAAACTTTGTTCTCATCATTTTTTGTCTTCATGTTTATTTGAAGACAATAAGGGCTAATCATTCTAAAACTTTAGCCAGTGTGTTGGATTATTTGGATTATTCATTTAGTTGTTAGCGTTTAATTAAAAAAAATAAGTTAAGGGCAGTTCTGAGTTATTTTTAAGCTGGCTAATAGCCTGTGTCAGCTCTCTTCCTTATAGCAAATTATTTGTTTTAAATATTACTTTGTAAAATTTTAATTTATAACACAAAAAACCTGGTGAAACTGATCGTCGTACATGAAGAAGTTAAATTGTTGAAAACGAAACTCCAAAAATATGTAGCCAGATAATTTCTTTCATTATTCCTGAAAGTAACATTTAAATATGTTCATGAACAGTTAAATGAAACTCGTTGCTTTGTGACATGTTCTCATTTTGTTTTATTTACCAGGAAATGACTGTAATGTTTTGATGAGTAGATCTTAAAGCCAATCTACAAATGACAGTTTTATTAGGAAAAATAACTTGTAATTTATTCTGATTTCTAACCTTTAGAATGACTTAGATAATTTTAACCATTTTAATTCATACATTTAAGCATTTTTGTTGTTGTAAGATTTCACTTAGTTAAAAAAAAAAATCATACTTTATGGGAATTGGGTTTTGCCCAACTTAAGGCACAAACTTAAGAGTTTTCTGTTTCTCTTCTGTTTCAGCTCAACTTTATTCTCTTTGTGAATATTGTTCGAGTTCTGGCCACGAAGATACGAGAGACCAATGCGGGGAGATATGATACCAGGAAACAGTACAGGTTGAGGCAGTGATTTTTTTCAACAAAGCATGGCCACATTTGAGATGTCATTGTTGTCATCTAGCTCTTTGTTTTTAATAAGCTTAATTTTAAAAGGTGACTAAATCTGGATTAAAGAAAAAAGATATTTCCTTAATATCATCTTCAAGTTACCAGGTATATCTGTTACTCAGCTATTTCAGGTTTGGTTTGGTTTATTTGTCATGTGCAAAAATCAACACAAGGTCAACAATGCAATGAAATGCTGAGGACGAGAAGAACCATCTCGACTCGCTAAAAAAGAAACAACAATAAGAAATACCAAAGCATGCAACAAAAATATAAAAATCAAGGCGCCAAAAGTGAAAAAGAAATGCACCTATAGTTTGGTTCGGTTAGCAGTGAGGTCAGCAGCATGGTTCATATGGTTCATATACTGTAACCCTGTCCAGAGGACCTGATTTAACCTTTGTAGATTTTTCTACCTGGATTATTGAGCATGCATCAGGAGATTCTGGATATATTATTATTTATTTATCATCCAGCCCACTACGCTAAATGCTCCAAGAAGGATAAAACAAGATACCATGATGATACTCATCATTGGTGGTGTGATGAAAATCGGTGATGGGTTTTGAACCAAAAACCCACTTCTGATTCCATCCGTTTAGTTGGGAAGAGGGTCAGAGTTTAAAAGAGGGTGGGATACAAAGATATGACCGGTTACCTTAACCAAGCTGATAGAAATGACCTCTTTGGTATTCTGTTCTCTTGCAGTGTAAAATTCCAACTTGTTCTCGTTCTGTTAGCTGTACAGCTACACACACACCACTACACACACTAACACACTCATTTCCACGTCTACAATTATCTGTCTTTTCTCTCCCCTGCTGGTGCTGGCATCAACATGTCAGATGAAAACATAATAATTACAGCGTATCGTCCGAGAGAAGCGCTGCTCTGAATGCTGCTGGCGAGGACGTTTTATGTGGATGAGATGACGATTTGTCAGAACAGATTACGGTGATCAGGTGCACCGAACTGGAGGCCATAGAAAATTAGCAGAATGCAACTGGTGTCATAAATTCTTTAACTCTCAGCGGCGCTCGGGCAGCGAAGCCGAAAAGGTACAGAGAGAGGAAGGAGGTGAGCAAAGCAGACTGGGACAAAAGTGAGGACGTTCAAGTTGTCTAATCATCAGTTTTTATGCATATTTTACTTCTTTGCAGAGACAATGTTTGTGATATTTATGTGAGCTAATCAATACACATACAGTACCTTCCCTAGAAAACTTTACTAAACTCTTCACAACATGGAGATATTAGCAGCAGCACAATGGCACACCGATTAAAGATGTCACCTGTTGCCTCTCAGGGAGAAGATTGCAGGATGGCCTCCAGGCCTCGGGCCGTTCACTTTCAACACTGAGGCCTCAGGGATCATTTTGATCCAATGCAGCAGCAGAGTTAACCCCTCATTCTGAGGCTTTTTCATTTGTATCGACTGAAATGTGGAATAGATCAGGGCTTTACGAACCCTTGTTCTAAACATGCTACAAATTTATTATATAATTGGTTTAATTACATGTGAAAAACACAGAAAACAGACTCAAAGAAGATCAGATGCTTGATATTTGTGGGCGGAAAGTGAGAGCAGTTACACTGTAATGCATACAGTCCAATGCCTCATGCTTGTATATTACTGAATATTAGTACAAACGTTATATTGATAACCTCTCTGTTGTGGACCTAGACGATCAAGGCACTTTAAAAAAAAGTACAAGTTAAGTAAATCAATTTTAACTGAATTCTGAAAAAAACAAAAAAAACTTTATTGTATTGGAAAACCAAGACCTAAACAGAGTGAATATGATTTTCTTTGTTTCCCAAACAGTAAAAGTAGCTCTTAATCAACAGTTTTTCCATTTTTCTCTTTAGATGTTACGTACTATTATAAGTATATGACTTTTTTTCAGAAATTAATATTCCATAGGTGACATGCTGAAAGCAATCTGGTACTTTTGTGGTTATTTTTTATTTTTTTGCAAACCATTATAGTACAGATACCCATCTCAAGATAAGATATGAATGTGAGCTTAAGACATAGAAACCTGATCTGTTCTACTTAAAAGTAATTGGTTTCTACTTTATCTAGCTACAGCAATCATATCGGCTTCCATTAACATCAAAGTGAATGAACGGATGCGCTTTAAATCGTTGCAAAATCCAGTGTGTGCAATATTCAGCAATTCTTTCTGTTCAAAATGAAGGCATGGCTGACTTTGTATTAATAAATCATTCAGAGTTCATGTTATTTCATTTTATGTACTTTTCCTGGTGCAGATATGGTTATTAGAATGTATTACATATTAGTGTTTACAATTAATGACATAATTTGATATATGAACTTTATTTGTTTTTTTACAGGAAATTAGCAAAGTCCACCCTGGTTCTGGTGCTGGTGTTTGGTATCCACTACATCATCTTCGTTGGGATGCCTCATACATTTGAGGGATCAAGCTGGGAGATCCGGATGTACTGTGAACTTTTCTTCAACTCATTTCAGGTACTTTCTGTCTAACTTTTGGCGTTTACTCTTACCCAAATGTTTCATGAACCACTAAATGGATTTTAATGAAACTTTCAGGAAGTAATTGTTGGATATACACGTGCAACTGATTACATTTTGGGGTCAAGTCAACTTAGGATGGCCTTCACAGCTAATACATTTTAGCAAACACTAAAATGGCTATAAGTTTGTAAATTTTACAGAAATTGAGCTAAAGCTTTGTGTGGTTTCAGCTGAGAGTGATTCACAACATGAGTGCAAATGCATTGTGCAAAATATTTGTTTGAACTTTTAGCAAACACGGCATTGGGTGACACATCCTTTCAAGATATACTAGTTTGAGTTTTAAACACAAATTTAAGAGATCTTTTATGAGTTGAGTTGTTAATGACATGTTGCCAAAAACCCCAATTAGTTGCAAAGTGCTGCTGTTTCTCTTTTATACCGTTAAGTTTAGTCTTTTGTTGCCCTTGTCCCCACTTTGAGACGCATTTCTGCTTTATAATTTAAAATTAGTTAATTTATCTAATATATTACACAGTTTCTTAGACTCAGCAGTTTTTACTATGTTCCATTGTGAATGAAATGTGGATTTATAAAAACAAAGCACATGCTCAATAATCCAGGTATAAAATCCAACATTTTTCAGTCAGGTCATCTGGACAGTTTCTTTTTTTGTGCTGAAACGTTTCGCCTTCGAAGAATGATGAAGTCTTCCGGATTGAAGGCGAAACGTTTCAGCACAAGAAAAAAAAAGAAACTGTCCAGATGACCTGACTGAAAAATGTTGGATGGATTTATAAGATTAATTAAAAAATCCAACTTTTTTGGAATTGGGTTGTAATGAAACAATAAACCATAAAACAAAGTAGATTTATGTCAGATGGTTAGCCTCACATTGCAGCATTTGAAAACAGACAACTGCTTAAATAAACTCAGTGTCCGCGTCTCTTGTACAATGACCCCCGCACCCCGAAATGGAAGAAGCGGATAAAGATAATTATGGATGGATGTTTTCGCCTTGACAGCCTTTTGGTTTCTTTTTAATAAATACTATATTTTATAATCTCCTGAGTCCTGGACTGCCTGCCTGCACCATTGGGTTTATCTGCACCAGCGCTGTCGTTACGACAGATTCTCTGTTAGGGCTTTTGGCTTTTTGGGCACCATTTTGAAAATGTTCTGGATGTGCCCTATGTAAAAAACAAAACAAAAGAAAGATTATGTGCACCAATAAACCTTTATGCAGTGATGTTAAATCTTCTGTATTCATTTTGTGGTCTGGACTTGGTGCTAAGAAACATCTATATAATTGTTGACTGCTCAGTGCAGCTGTGTTCCATCATACTTCAGTCACCTGGCACACACTAATCTCTGAGCCTTTTGTTAGGCATTGTTTGTCCACATTTTATTGCACCTATTGGTTGTATCCCTAGCCACACTGCTAGACAAAAATGATTGATTCTCACTTATCTTCATTTCCCTGACAGCTGTAGGAAGTCTGTACTCAAGGCTGTTTCTTGGCTGTCTTCAGGCTGAGTGCATTTGTTCCATCTGTTCTCTAACTGTATCAAACAGAAACACTGGCTTTATGTCGCAGGCATCATACTGTTCTATGAACACTGATTATGTGCATGTCGAGCTTGTACATTCAATTAATTATTCTGTTTTTACTGGTAATCAACAGGTGTCCTGGATACTGCCAGATTAGAAGCACTTCACACAGATTCACAAAAGCAAAGCACAGAACAATTAAAAGGGTCAAAGAAAGAAAAGGAGCGCCCCTGCTGCTGTCGCATTTTGATCTCTTCCAAATCTGCTTCTGCAATGGATAAAAAAAAAACAAGCGTACACATTTCATATTGGCATTGACAACAAAAAAAAAACGATTGCATTTTAAAAATCCTTGCTGATGTGATACATCCCAGGATTTTTTGTGCAGGAAAAACAGCCCAATACGTTCTTCAGATTAAAGATGCTGAAAACAATCTTTGCTACAGAGAGTAATCGAAAGCTGATCAGTACAGATCATTCCAATGGCAAATGAAACTTTGCTATTATAAAGAAAATGATAGTTTTGTGCTTTCCACATGACCAAAATAAATCTAAGCTTCAAAGAAACACATTTTACTTTTGATTGCATATCCCTGAGCTGCTGTCGTATGTTGAGACTCATTCTGGCACCAAACAAATTGATTTACAGAAATATTTCTGCATGATAAGCAACCTTTTCAATAGTGAAATATGAAGAGCTGTGATTGAAAGGGGTTGCACTTAAAGTGACACAACCAGCTACCAACAAAACAATTTAGATGTACAAGGCCAACATGTAGTATTGCACAGTCCTGTTAATCATGGTGGGGATTCTTTTCACAGTTTTGGGAAGACAGTGCACATTTCTGTTTGCAAATCGCTTCATAAAAATCATAGAGAGCCTCATTACGTGTGCAAAACTTTCCTCTAAGAGGAGTCGAGGAGAAAGGATGTGATCATTATCTTTTGTTTGCAAGATAAAACTTGGTACAGACCTATTGTGCAGAATCAAAGATCACAAACAGTGATTTTGGTTTATTCAGCTGCAGCCTGCCTCTTTGTAACCTTTACATTCTTATTTTATGCAGCAGGATGGAGCCAAAATTATCTTTCATGAATTAGTCTGGGTGACTGCCAGTGTCAAAGTTAATACTGCACTTCATTATGCATGAAAAAAAATCTGATGCTGATTAACCTTTTTATTAAACTTACCCAAAGTTAAACGAGCTTATTTTTATGCATACAGTTTAGTGTGGCCTTCAGTTCAACCTACATAAACTTAAACCACAGGCAATCCTTTTTCCTAAACAGCACAGATTTAGTCAAGAAGTGCAACATTATTAGTTTATTAGATTGCCAACTACCAAAAAGTTAAAAGTGGATGATAATGTTTTGCATGTGCACCTGCGCTCTCGTGTCTGACTAATACAAAATATATCAGGAACCACTTGACAAACTTTAATTAAACGTGCAGAAAGTAATAACTGAATATACCCATAGCTCATTAACTTTAGGAGGAAACCCAATTCAAAAGGGCTACCATTTGAGCTTAATCATCATGCAGCTCATCCATCAACCAACCAATTGTGTGCAATCTTATTTTGAAAAACCGTGATAGAGAGTCCGCGAAAAACGAACCGCGAAGTAGCGAAGGACTACTGTAATGAACAACTAGATTTAACTAAATGTCAAACGTCCATTTTACCGTTCTCTCCTTCACCCCTGTAGGTTTTTGGGACTTTATTGTTCCTGATGTTCCAACACAAATCAATCACTGCAGTATTTTCTACATGGTCCCCGTCAGTACAATGTAACGTGTTGAAAGTTTTGTAAACTACTTACAGTATTTAGACTTTGAGAACATTGGAAGCTGTTGAACTATTGATTTTTGAAAATAAATTATTACATCTTTTGAACGTTTAAACTTGGCCTTCAAGAGATTCTCGGCAGCTTTGAACTTCCAAAGCCAGTGATTTTCGATGTGAGCGTCACAGAAAAATATCACAGCTCCACGCAGCAATAAAAGATCAAATCTTTCTGGAGATGGGCAGTTGGGGTGGAAATGCAGCAGCTGAGACTCATGGGGTCTTGGTACCGTAATAGAAAAATGTGCTTCGTGCTTAAAATTTAGCACCGAGAAGCTCTGAAAAGTTCAAAACAAATTTAAGGTATTGTTATATTTAACGTTAAAATAAAATAAAAAAAAAACTTCAGAAGTCAGGCTGAAATCTCACCACCTATATGGATGATTGAATGTTTCATTTCTCCAAGTTCATGAAGATTTGAAGAACTGCTTCGTGGGCAAGAAAGTTTTTTGACAAAGTAAAATAAAGAAATGTCCTAAATCAAAGTTTTGATGGTGGTTATCATTCACTGTGGATGGGAAGAGGTGTTTTTTTTTTGTTTGTTTATTTGTAACATCAGCAAAATATGTCACGAACCAGTGGACCAATTTTGGATGTGCATCTACAACTGATTAACTTTTAAAGTCACCGCAGTTCAAGACATCAGCTACAGCTTATTAACTTTAGCCAAGAGCTCAGTCAGTTTTATCTATAACATCATTAACAAAGTTTGAATAAGTTTTTTTTTTAAAACCATCTCTTTATGGAATATCATTATAGAGTTACATATTATATAGTTTTAAACTGTGACTTGTAATACGGCAGGTGATTCAGCAGTTTCTAACAGAAATAAAACAAAATAATTCCTCTTTAATCTCAGCTGTCGATGTCTTGTATTTCAGCTTGAATTCAGATTTGAATAAATACAAATGTATTTGAGAAGCTAAAAACAATGCCGTTAAGTAGATTTTAAGCTCGCTTACCAGACATCAAAACCATGTCACAAACTGTGGAAGGTCTGCGTGATCTAAAGCCTGAAATGAGCTCCATCTTCTCTCATCTTCAGATGCCGACACAATTCAATAGAGCAAACCGACTGAGGAATGATCTGCCTCAGGAGTCTGTCAGGTGAAGGTGTGAAACTCATTAAATATACTTATTATACAGCACATGAGAAAAATACTGAGGAAGCATGATAATAATGCAAATAAATAAATAAATTCACAAACAAGAAGCTTGACTTCACATAAAATCATGTATTGTGTATGTTTACTGGATGTGAACGAGTTTCGTTTGTGAGTTTACTAGATATACACGAATCAATATAATCGTTCTATGAATTATATAACAGACGGAGTGCTCATAATTGCACTTGATGGCTACGAAAAATACATCAATGGGGATGGATTCTATTTATCCATCTAGCCATTAAATCAAGTGTTTTGATGCTTTTATTTTGATAACACTGATTTGATTTGTGTTTTTAACACCAGCTGAAGCCAAAACCTGACATTGATTCTGCAGCATCCAGAGACTAAAATACAATTTTATAGAACAATGGGCGCCAAAGATGACTGCTGTTCGATTAGGGGGAATAAAAAATAACCATAACTGCATCGCTCCATCCAGCATTTTTCATGATTAACTTGGGATGTTGTCAAAAAAGGACAAATAGAAAAATTGTAAACAGGTGGATGTTTTAATAGTTAA